GGAGGTCACACGACACTGCGTAGGCAGGAGAGGATCGAAACTCTGCTGTGGAAACCAACCCCACTGATGCAATGAAACATAAACCTGCTTGGTCCGACGTTAGTTGTTTAAAATTTCAGTCGCTGATACACACCATAAAACAGGGATTTTAGAGGCGAGTCAACCATCTCACCTACAACATGTCTTAAACCCCCTTCGCCTAGGTAGTTAACTTTCAATAAGTAAAATGGCGTTGCCCATGAGTGCGCAACTGAAGTTCGAGGACAAACGCGAAGTTCAGCGGGGATCCTCGGCACCTTTCGGTCACAGGAAAGAGACATGGCGTTGGAAATACTTGTTAAAAAATACACTGTACAAAAAAGTCTAGGCCTGAGGTGCAACAACTGCTATCTGTTCGAGCATGGCGTTAAACAAACTATTGACTCTGGCGTAAAGCGCCACATTAACGGGGTCGGTCACGGTTGGCGAGGAGGTCAAGGCCAGAAGCGTCGATGGGGAGATAGGACAAAGGCTGGAGGCGGCGTCAGGTCGTCCAAAGTAGACGCCAAAGACCAGAGGGGAGGCGGATTCCGAGTCTAACTTTGTTTTCTTTACGACCGCAGGCTCGGACAGAGATAGGAGTGGGTGAGTGACGTCTACGGCCAGAGTAATGGCTTAAAGGGGGAAGACAGAAGAATACGCGTGAGGAAGTACGGGCGTGGACGTTTCATTACCGATGGCAATTTTTTTTCATACAACACTGTCAACCAGCTTAACAGCTGTCGAGGGAAGTTTAGAAGTAATTTGGAGAAATGGGGTTGAAAGCAGAAACGCTTAAAACACCGATAACCGAATTCGTAATTGTGAAGGAACGTTTTCCAACGGGGAGAATTTATAACAGACGAATTGAGAACTCGAAGTGCGTCCTAATATTCTTATTGCGGACGAACTAACATTGACATTTGACCCGGAATTCAGCCGAAGTAGTCGACTGTAAAAGGCAGCCACAACAGGTACAAGTGCTGTAAAGGTATACGAAATTACTGGTTCGTTTTCCTTAAACGGTGGGTGCAAAGGGTCGTATATGGGCCGCACAAACTCTGCTCAAGCCCCTACACGCCAGTACCAGCAATGAGCACAATAGCGGCAATCTTCTCTTCTTCTCAAACTACACAACAAACGAGTCCGCAAACGTCTTTAGGACCGGGATCCCCCGACGAACGAGCCTCCACGCAGACAAGTTACAGTCATAAATCATATGTCTAAAGGTTGCCGAATCGAATGAATATTACGGGCATATCCAAAGACCGTGAACAGCGTCACTGTTCGTTCAAGTTGCCCTAGAAAAACAAATTCGGAGAATAGCGGACAAGAGCCCTCGAAAGAACACTTTGGGAAACGCG